CCCTACTAGTAGTCTGGGCAGAACTGGCGCATACATGTGCTGCAGGTGCTGTGGTTGGCAGCCTGGTAACTACAAATTCACTGCTAGTGGCAGTGTAAGCAAAGATGCCAGACTGCTGGGGAATGACAACTGATGTGGAAGTCCATTTCTGGTGCCCTCAGGAGGTAAGGAAACGTAGGGACAAACAGAAGCCACTCAATAACTCTCCTGTGTGAATAGAGACATCTTGTGCAACCCCAGAATCAGGCATGCCCTGAGATCTCCCTCCACAGAGCTTCCCTCTGCACTTCTGGTGCCCTGCCATGCTCAGCAGCTGGAAAGCATAACTGTGCTCTCCTAAGAGGTCTGCATGTCAGCAGTGTGCAGAGGCTCTCTAGGGATCTGGAGTGCAGTGTGCTCCTGAGATCCTGATGTTGGGCATGTTTTGGACCACTCCTTGACAGCAGGGGAAGCAGTATCCAGGATTTCTCCTCAAATCCACCAACATGTGTCCTGGTGTTTGCTGTTCACAGGCTGAACACCATCTTGGACTCAGACCGTGTGCTGGTGATGCAAGCAGGGATAGTGGCAGAGCTGGATTCACCCACCTGCCTAAGCAAGAAAGATGGCTCCTTGTTCCAGCACCTCCTGCACAGTGGGCAGCAGTGACCTCCCTCCTGGGCTGAGTCCAGGCAGCCCTCCTGGTTCTGTGCCTGGCTCTCCTCTCACCTCAGCCATCAGCTCTGTCTCTGCAGGGTCAGGAGCTGCTGAGGTGAGAGAAAGGGTTATTCCTGCCTGCAGACAGCAACTGTTTGTCCTCAAGGACAGGGGCATGGCACTGCAGCCTTTCCATTAGTAGGGAAGATGGGACCTAGTGTTCAGGGCCATGCAAGCCTGTATGGCAGGATACTGCTCCCCTCCAAGACTCCCTTTTGAGATTACAGAGCAATTTTCTGCTTACTGAAGAATAAGTGACTCTGTTCTCATACTTAGTCTCACACGTGCAGTGCAATTTAAAATAAAGTAGAAACATCCTTATGAAGCTCTGCTATTCAGGTCTCTGTCCCCTTTTCCCCCTTTCCCCCCCAGCCATGGACTTCCTTGTGAGATACAGGAGTAGTGCCCTCCCTGCACAAAGACAGCCCTACCTGCTCCCTACTACTTTCAGAGGACACTGACCTTTCCAAGCCCAGAAGGTTGTACCCAGGGACCTGGCTGGTTTTCCTCAGTTTACAGTGGAGAAGGCCTTCCCCTGAAGAGCCAGAATGTAAAGGGCCAGAACGTGATTACATTAAAGATCTCTAAGGCCACTTTCAAGACCACTTTTCCAAGGGAAGTTTGCTATCCCTCTTGTTCTGCTTCCAGCTGCACAAACCCACAGCTGTTTTCAGTTTTAGGGTCAGATTGCTCTTTCCATCAGCACCCTTGGACTCAGTCTCGGATTTTCCTGTTCTCCTCAACACTCCAAGGCAACGCCTGGAAGGTACAAAGCTTTGCTAGGCTGTCCAGAGCCAGGTCCCATTCCTTCCCCTGAGGCTGCAGGAGCCATCTCCACCCCTGCAGCGAGAGCATGGGGCAGGACAAACTGTGCCACAACATAGGTTTGCATTCTTGAGGCAAGTGATAGAGAAACTAATCCAGGACAAGTAGTTAAGCAGCCTGATCTAATGGGATCTGCTGAGCACAGGAGCTTAGTGTCCAGAGGTCCCACGCAACCAAAATTATTTTATGGTTGTCTGATACACTGTTTCTGGGCTTGTATTTGTTTTATTTGATAAAGGTACATCATCCATTCATGTATTAAAAAAATAATATTTCTGATGAAGCCCCAGTCCCCTCTCCCAGGTCTCCCACCTGGCTGAGTGCTTTTCCTGTCTGCTCCCTTCACACCATCTTGAACGCAGCTCTGCAACACTACAGGCTGGTAATAGGGTTTGGGTTGTGGGGTTCTTAACCCCACTGCTTAGTCCTCCATGTTCATGAGGAGGCATGGAAACCCCTGGTCCTGGCAGAGGGATGCTGACTGCTGCACACTTGATGAGCACAGGCAGGAGCAGGCCTACAAGTACAAAGGCTAAGTGGCCTGGACATCTACTACCTCTTAGTTGTGCTTTAGCAGTGGTGGAGAAAGCAGCCTTGAATCTGCTTCCTATGGTCATCCAAGGCTCTGTAGCCTGTCCTCACAGCCACTGCCGGGAGCTTAGCCTTTGTGGTATCAAGAAATGATACAATGGCTGATTTGAGGTTAGTGCCTGCTGCCTGATTTGGAGTGACTGAGAAGAGAGGAGAGTCTGAATCTTGTATAGCTCCTGAACCAGCCACAGTACATCTCCAGCCATGTCCATCTCCAGTTGCACCTGCAAGGGCGTACGAGAAGGACCAGCTCAGGCCTAGAGGACCCCAAAGGGGATCAGGCTATGCTCCTCCTCATCAGCAAACAGTGAGGCAGAAGTGTACTCCGGAGAGGGGACGGAGCTTGGTCATTTGTGGTCAGACCAGAAAGGACGGCTTGGTAAGTGGGAGAAGACCCCTGGATCACGGGCACCAAAGTACATAATGTGTTTGTAACCACAAGTCTGACAGCAAGAGGAGGGAACATCACCCAGGGCAGAAGAAGGGCACAATGAAACCCCAAATGATCTCCAGAGTCTCTTTTAACTATGTCACAGAATGCTCATTCCCTAGGGACATGGCATCTGAAATGTCAGCCTCCAGAAACAGCTGGGAGGCACTCCATCCAGTACAAGGGAACAGAGGCCCTTGTGGCCATGACTGTCCCGAAGGCCCCAGAAGAAACATCCCAGTGCCAGTAGAAAAGAGGTCAAAGCCCCTTCCAGTAGTCACAGAGAGGAGTTAAAAATGGCCTGGCAGAATTTGGGCTTACAGGAAGGCCGTGCCCTCCCCCAGCGCTACCCATCCTGTTTCTGAGAGCTCAAGTTGGATGATCCCAGCACTGCATGGTGTGGGCTGCCACACATCACCACTCCCTGCAGGGCTGGCCCAACACAGCCCTGTTTTCAGGTACTGTGGGTCCCAGCTGTGCCGGCCAGGCAGGAGACAGCTCAGACCCAGGTGGGGCTGTCACACCAGTGCTCTATGCCCAGAGATTTAATTGACATGTTTGCTGCCCTGGGAGCCCTTCCCCGCTGCCCGGCCTGTGCCATCACAGCTCCCCACAGTGCAGCTTGAAGGGTTTGCCAGCACGATGACCTGCCAGGGCCCGGCTGAGGGTCCTTGCAGCTCACAGCTCCGTGGTCTTCCTGGGCTCGATCAGGACGGTGTTGAGCATGCCCACCTGACACTCCTGGTCTTGGAGCTTCCTTGCAGCCTGAGAAGGGCTTTGGCACCAGTTCGACCTCTGACGGCCCCTCTGCCAGTTCCTCAGCATGAGCAGGACGGTGATGAGAACGAGCACTGCTGTGAGCACCCCGAACACCAGCACTGTCACCAGCTGGGCTTCGCTCAGCCCAGAGTCCCTTTGGGTCACCACCTCCTTCACAGAGATTTTCAACAACCCTCCCCCCTGCTCTTTCTCACTGTGGTTGGCCACATGCTGCCCCGTGACCACGGTCCTGACAGGCTCTGGTTGCGTCACCCCTGGCGTCTCACTGGTGGTGCTTTTCACATCCCCGGGGTTCTCATGGTTCACCAGGTGGTAGGGGGGAGCCCAGGTGGGCTCAGGGACGGAGATCTCACAGTTTTTGCCAGTGAAACGGTCAGGACACAAGCAGTCATAGTCATTGATGCGGTCGTAACACTTTGCCCCATTTTTGCATGGCTGGCTAGCACAGTCGTTGATATTGATGGTGCAGAAACGCCCCTCGAAGCCCACCTGGCACTGGCAGGAGAAGCGGTTGATCCCGTCGTGGCAGGTGGCACCATTGGCACAGGGACGCATCAGGCAGTCATCCACATCCTTCTCACAGAGAGGTCCCACAAAGCCAGCAAGGCACCGGCAGGTGAAGTTGGTGGCAAAGCCGTTTTCATCTTGACACTGCCCCCCGTTCCTGCATGGAGACCTGTGCGGAGAGAGCAAGGACAGGTCACGGCCTTGGAAAGCAAGCAGCTTCTGTCACCCAGGGAGGTAGATGCACACAATTGCTTGCATGGCTAGTGGGTCTGGCACTGGTTCTCTCCATGGGGGCAGCCATCTCAAGGATAACACCAGGCAGGACTTGCTGCCTCCCCAAATGAGAGGCTGTGAGACCTCCTCAAAGGATGTGGCTGTGCATGGGCCCACTACCCACCAGGGAGGCTCTTCAGCCAAATGATCTGAAGAGGAAACACGCCTTCCTAAAGGTATGATGGGTGTCAGCTCATCACACCTACAGCAGTGAGGAATCTCTTCAGATTGCAACAAAGATCTTGCCCTGGTGGGACTGTGCAGTGCACACAGCTAAACCAAAGCCAAAGATGGTTTGGGCTTAACTCCATTAGCACAGAGAAGTCCACAGATAATGAGCCAAGGTGGGCCACCACTTTTCTGTGTGTGACCCGAAGCTAATGCTGTCTGTAATCTCACTGCTGTGTCTCACCCTGCCTTCTCACATGGCCCCGTCTTCATCTCACAGTCCTTCCCATGAAAGCCTTCTGGACACAGGCAGGAATATTCCCCATCTCGATCGTAGACACACTGAGCCCCATTCTGGCATGGGGACTCATGTTCGCAGATGTGTATGTCTGGGGAGAAAGAAAAAGGTAGGAATTAGTGAGAAAAGAGGGGTGATGTGGCCAATTTAGTTCAAACACAGCCTGTCAAACCTAGTGAGAATGGAGAAATGGCAGGAGCTTCTCCTTCCTCCCTTTCAATGGACACCTGCAGCAATAGAAGTGCAGGGCCCACATGGCACCTCCCAGCTATACTCTGCAAAATGCACAGGCTTAGGGGTGTAGAGAGAGCAAATTGTCCTGCAAATCTGCCTGGTATGAAGATGCTGTACATGCCATGTGGCTGGCCAGTGTAGAATCCCTGGCACAGAGGAGCCTCCGAGGCTGGAGAAGGGGAGTCCACCAATCACCTGCCAAAGGCAGGAAGCCCCAGAGGAAGAAGGTGTTGCCTAGAGCCCAGCCATGGCATGGGAAAGGCAGTGAGTTAATCTGCTCTATTTCCAGAGGCTGGCCGGTGGCTTTGATGGGTCACCCATCCACACAGAGTGTGCTGGGCTTCTGCCCTCAGCACCAGAGGCTGGGACGTCCAGCCCGCGACTCACCTTTGTCACAGAACTTGCCGGCCCAGCCAGTGTGACAGATGCACTGCCACGGCTGGTGGCATGTCCCATGGAGACACCCCGGCATACGCACACACTCCTCACAGTACTCGCCCTCCCAGCCTGGATCGCACCTGCAAGGGGACAGGGCATGGCAGTGTGGTGAAACCAAAGCAGGGGCTGCAGAAAAGCTGGCTGCTTGCCACGTGGGGTTCAGGCAGATACAGCAGGACTGGAAAACCTCCCAAAGCCCCCCATCCCATGAAGCTGATGGCACCCTCCTCCAGAGGAAATCAGTACTGGCATCTCATCTTTTGAAGCAAGCAAGCGGACAGAGTGGGAGCAGACTCACCCTCTGCAGCCAGGAAGGGTGAAGGGGCAGAAACAGAGCTCTGCAGTTTTGCTTCTACTGCCCATTCCCATGCCCCTGCTCTCCTCCAGGCAACCACTCTGTACACACCACTGCATTAGCTCAGCAATTCCCTCATTGTGCAGCAAGTATGATGGGCAGAAGAAAGTCCTATTCCTCACTCTGAACTCCCTGAGGGAAAGGGACAAGAGGCCCCTGAGGCCCATGTGCCTAATTGTGTCCCTTCGCGTTATAAGGTGTGTCCTTTTTTATCTGAAGTACACAGTAATCCAGCTGCAAAACCTTGCTTGCCAAGACAGGTGTATGGAATAGACTTATCAGACAGTTCACAAGGGCAGTATGACGGGAAAACTCGCAGTGCATAACAAGTCTTCTGGCCCCAGAAAAGTGGGGCTGTGGCGATGGCTACGTAAAGCCAAGCTGCATTGCTCCAGCGGCTTTCCTCAGGCCTGCCAGCTCCAAAGGGGAAAATAAGATGAGAACTGAGTGGAGGTGGCCCCAGCCACAACAAAAGCTATACTCAGAAGAGCATAGAATTAAGTTTAATAAAACCAATGTGGTCTCCAGAGTATGCAAGGGAGTTCACTTTCATGGCTGGGGCTCATTTCAGTGCAATGTGTGGTGACTGCTGCTTTGCCAGGCTGGTCTGAGGCTGCACTTTCACACCTGGACTGACTGTCACTGCAGTTCATTCCAAGGAGATGAGGAAAATGATTACAAAGTAAATGTCTATGTTAATTAGAGGCTTTTATAATGGGAATGGAGGTGATACCATGTGCCTGATAAGAGTCTGGGGAAATGCATTCATATGTGGACAGCCATGGACCTACAGAGGGCTGTGGGCACCCCTGCCCCCATACCCACAAAGAGTAGGCGCCATCAGTTCTTCCCCTTCTTTAAAAGGGAGATGACCAACCTAAAAATAGCCAGGTAGGGTCCAGCTAAGTGGCCAAGTCTCCCTGAGTTTGGGGTGATTTCAATGGGGTATTGCCAAGCTGCTGAAGGGCTCAGCAAATGCTCTGCAGGCCTCAAATCTGGAGCAGCAACTCGCGTGTTCCCCCATCAGAAAGACCTGCAGCTGGGCCACCTGCCAGATGGAGAAGTGTGGTGTCTTCAGCCAGGGCTTTGCAGCACTGAGCTCCCACGACCAGCCACAGCTGCCAAAAGGGCTCGGGGAGGAGCAAGCTCTTTGCAGCTGCAACTGGGGGCCCAGCAGAACCAGAGCTGGATGCTCCCTGATGCAGCAGTCAGTGGGGTTGTGGTCATCGCCAGGCCATGTCTGCTCCATCAGGGGAGAATGAGTGGCCTGGGCATGGTGGGACACTGGGGGCTGTGCTGTGGAAGGGGCTGAGCACACCCCAGAGAGGAGAATGGGGCAGTGGTGGACAGTCTGTCCCCTTGCAGCACAGATGTCTGGGCCAGCCTGGAGCAGCCTGCTCCTCCTGATGGGGGCTCCAAATGGCCCTACAGTCGGATGAGAGGCAGTGTCTGGGGTTGTGGCAACCCAGGGCAGCCACATGGTTGCTTCCTAGGTTGAAGTGAAGGGTCGGACTCTGAGCTTTGTCCCTGTGGGATCTGGGCACCAGCTGGAGCTGAGATGCCAGGATTCACATATGCACTTGTGCTGCAGTAGCCCCAGCTTACTGGCCAGCCCTTTTTGAAAATATCCGGATATCCCCACCACAGCCCAGGCTTCTGAGGGGGGACCTCTGATGCCCTCAGAGATATATGTGCATGCTGGCAGCTCTTCTCTCCCATGCCCCCAGGGAGACCATTCCCATCTCAACCAGTGAGAAGGCCAATCAAGCTGGCTGACCCCCAAGCCTGCCCTGCTGCCTGATTACTTTCCCCATCGTATCTGAGCCTGAAGACTGCCTCACATCATCCAGGCATGACTGGGCCATCCTAAGCTCCAGTCTAGACAAAAAGGCCTCAGTAGAACAACATTATGAGTCAGTGTGTGGCAGGGGTGACCCTGGAAGCACTGGTGCAAAGGCTGGAGGGGAGCAGCAAGAGGTTGAGGGATAAAAATCTCCCACTTCAGAGGTTGTCAGATATGAAGAGAGCAGAGTTGTTGATTGCAGGTGGGAGTGAGCAGAGGAGGAGGAGCAGCTCAGGGCAGGGGTGTAGGCACTGGGGTACACAGCATCAAGGGAGGGAGAGCAGTTATGGTCAGGGGCAGCAAGAGCAGAGAGCTAAGGACAAGCTGTACCTGCACTTCCCATCCTGGTCACAGCAGCCATGGGCAAGATTACAGCGCTCGCTGCAGTCATCTCCTACAAGGCAGGAAACATGTGGAGTTGCATTAAGCTGAGACCATAGATTGCTCCAGATCTGCCAGTGGCCCTGCTGGCTCACAGCTTGTTCTTTCCTTCCTAAGTGCTCAGCTTGCCCTTTCCCAGAGCTCTAAGGCAGTGAGGCCTTCCTATCAGTGGCTGGATGACACACGAGTGGTGAGGATTTGTCAGTCACCCAAGCAGCTATAGCACTGTCTTTATTAAGAAACAGGACCCAGCTTCAAAACTACCCAGTCTCTGATCATCTTCTCCACTTTCTCTCTGCTGCCTCCCTTAGACTTCAGCCCCTTCCGAGCAAGAGATGGGTTTGCTGGTGCTTAAGGCAACCCATGTAATAGGGCCTAACCCACCTGGGACCTTGGTTCCATGGTCATGTAGCAAGTATGGTGGGAAAGCTCAGGACTTGGTACTGCGAAGGCCACAGAGGGATCAAGGATAGAAATTGAAAGAATGGCTCCTCTTTTTCTCTCAAAATGTCCCCATCCCCAGGGACAGCTACTGGCACAGAGCAATCTGACTGGGGCTCCTGTCTTCCATCAGAACCCAGCTGCCAGCACTCCCACTCTGGCACAGGGAGGCAAGACTGGGCATCACATGGGGACAGGTATCCAGTTCTGTTTATTTATTTAAAGGCCACAGAAGCTGTAACTGAGCCATGGCCTCACCATGCTACTTCTCATCCTCTGCTCAGCGCTGGCCTACTTTCTTCAGCCAGGTGTCCCCTTTCATCTCCATCTTCCCATCTCCCACATCTCACTTGCTTGCATCTTAGCCCCCCCGGGAGCTGCCTCACTCCTGCTCCATGGGCAGCAGAGCTAGAGCAAATGTTGGGAGGCAGAGGGCTTCTCCAAGAGCCCAGCATGATCCCAGACCAGGTCCAGGAGTGAAGGCCCTTACCTGACTGAGTCTGGACCAGGGCAGCTTAAAGCCCCCACAACAAGAGGCATGCTCAGGCTTTCCCCAAGCCACACAATATGCTGCCTAGAAAGTGACCAAGGGGGGAAAAATCCCCTGTGCCTGTGTTTTTGCTGCAGTGACACAGCAGGTCCCAAGCTCAGTGTAAGAGCTTTCCAAAACAAGCCACCATGGGGCTGAAGCAGCACCCTGGGACTGCTCAGCCCAAACCTGGGTATCACTGCCTTTCCTATTTGTAACCATCTCTTCTGGAAGACGGCTTTAGGAATTAATTGGGGTATTTTTGGGGGGGAGGAGAGCAAACTGATTTTTGGGAAGGCATTTTTCCTCATGGGATCCAGGACTAGCTCTTCAGTTTTGGGATCTTCTTTCCCCGTTGCCCTGCCTCTCTGAACAGGCCCCTTTCATCCTAATGGAGAAAGACAGAGCAGTGGGACCTTGCACTGCTTGTCTGCTCAGACACTGTCAGCCCTGTGGGCTCCAGAGCAAGGGTCTCTACAGCTGCCACCAGCCACCCCCTGGTGATGGATAGCTGAGCAGCATTTTTTGGTCTTCCAAGTCAGGCCAGCTCTATTTTGCAAGGAAAACTGAGGAGATGGTCAGCAGTGCCAAGGACAGATTTGGGAACTTGGATATAAAAAAGAAGGATCTATGTTTACAGAGACTCACCTTGGGTAAGCTGGTGATGGGCCAAAAGGATCCAAACCAAGGACATGAGCTGGAGACAGAAGCTCCTGAGCATGGTCAGTGTGGCCCCACCGAGATGAACACCTAGAGAGAAAAAAAAGCAAGCTCAGAAAAATCCCCTGGCTCAAACCACAGCTTCACTTCATCCCTTCCTCTCCACTACCTGGGAGTTTTAAGATGAAATAACCAGTTTTGTATAGACTGGTCACCACACTCCCCTCTGTCTTCCCAGACTCCTTCCTCTAAGGTGATGTTGGAACACTAAGAATCAAAAACCCTTTCAAAACTTGTGTACAGGAGAACTGAGTGTGCACACTGAACCCAGAGCATGTAACTTTTCAGTCTGTTACACCAAATCTTTGAGCACCTGCCCCTGTTAGTGACTGTCAAGAGAGCAGAAGCCTTCAGAATTACCAGCCCAGCTGTGTGGACGTTTATCTCCCCTTCCCTAGGTCTATGGGGCTTCAGCTTCCTATTAAGCAAGATCCCTCCTGTGTATGTTTGAATTAAAAGATGGGCTGAGCCTTTTTACAGTGCCCAGGCTTCTTTTCAAGCCCTTCAGGAGAACCAGGAGTCAAGCAGATCTAGCAGATGAGCAGGCAGTAAACAGCAGCTTTACTTCATGTTCCAAGCAAAGGGAGTGAAGCAATAAGCACTAGCCCTGGGCTGCAGCCCCAGGTGGGAAAGGCAAACACACACCTCTGGCTGGGTGCAGTCCGTTTCCTCCGCTGTCCTGCAGAGAGCCCTGTCAGCCCAGGGTTCCTGCACCCATCTATTTTCTGACCGCCTCCTGCCCTCTTCATGTAACATTAAATACTTTCCAAAAACGCTTCATTCCCTCCCAGCCTTCTGGGGTTGTTAAGGGCAGGAAATTCGAGGGTGATATCATAAATACATTACTATAATGAGATGGGAGGGGTTAAACAGCTCTGCGAGGAGATGGAGCAGACTCCATCCAGCTGCGTGGGTGTGATGGACAGGGACCATTTCACTTTCAGCTTGACTGTAGCTTGGAAAGGTTGTGTTGGGTCAATATCTGCCCGAAAGACTCCTCAGATGAGGACAGAAGTCCTCCCGCCCACCCACAGGTACACACACATTGCAGAAAGAGGTTTTGGGGTCGCTATTAAGGGCTTCACCTAATAAGACCAAACAGAACAGCCCACAAAAGCAATGATGTTGCTTGAAGCATCTCTCCAGCAAACCAACCATTGCCAACAAAGGATGCAGGACACTGCCACTGCCTCAGCCAAACCCCAGCACAGACCGCTGCATCCTCCCTCCCCGCAGTCCCCATGTCACCAAGCTCTCAGGACCCTCCTTTGCCTCCCGCCCCAAAATGCTGGGCAGCGGTGAACAGCTGCTACATTTCAGGGGAGGATTAAGCAATTCCTATGAAACTTATAGCATAATTTAAGGCTGAACAGTCATTATCCTGTTCCTTCAGGGCTGTGAGGAGCTCACCCTCCGACCACATGTCATTGCAAAGGTTGTTTCCCCCCACAGCTCCCCACAACCTCCCCACTCAAGAGCCTCTGCAGCTGCCCCGTGGGTGCTGTTCCCAGCGCCCACCTGGGAGCTCCACGGGACCCCAGCAAAGCTTCAGGGGCATCCCGGGGGGCAGCTGGTGCCCAAGGAAGGTGTGAACTGCACTCGGGCAGGCAAGCCCGGCTTTGGGGCCACAGGGGAGGGAGCTGCTCGCGTACCACACCTTCCCTACTGCCTGCCCAGCTTGGGGGCTACCAGCTCCCCAGGGACTGCGGGCTATTAGGGAGGTCCCCGGGCGCTATTCACCTCCCACTCGGGGGTACCCAATCGGACCTAGGGTTGGGGGCTACCAGGGACAGCCCCAGAACGGGGGTCTATCAGGCACTGCCCCTAATCTGGGGGCTACCAGACACCCTCCGGGCTGAGGGTCGGCGGGCAGGGCTGGGGACCCGGAGGATGCCGCGCCGCTGCGTCTAGCGCCCCTGCCACTTCTCCCACCCCCCTTCCCCGCTCCCTCCCGCTGCTTCCGGACCACCCCCAGCCCCCACTCCC